GAACCAAACCGGAGAAGGCGAACACTATTATCATCTCGCGAGGGCCGCGTTATGTCTAGAACCCGTATTGGAGAAGCCCTCAATGGTGACTACGTTGTTTGTTATTCAGATTGGTCTCCGTGAGTCATTCCTCTTCATAAGAGTTCAATTTTGAGGCTCGGAGGAGTTAACGACCGCGTGACCAGACCGAGACAGTGCTCGCTGGGGACTCAAGGAAACGGACATCCAGCGACGACGTGTTCTGTTCTGGGATATCTTCATCGGTGACAATGGCAGGTTTGTTCAGTCAATTCAGGAGTACACGGAAAGCCACCTAGTATTCTAACGCGTTCTTCACCAGAGTCTTGCCCGGACGTCATCTTGCACAAACACTTCTGCTTTTCTTTCACGGTCGCTACAATCCAATGACACCCACCTCCTCCTGCAATGCTCTCGCATTCCGATTTTCTGCTCCTGTCTCTGCATGTGTCTGCTCTCGCAACATTCTTGATTTCTTTTGAACCTGGACACTTCAACTCGCTGTATCTGTTCTGCTATGATGACTTTCTCTATCACCATGCTCGCGCTGTATTTTTAATTAGCTGATCTTCTCGCCATTGCGCTGTTCAATCCATTGCCATTGTTGCTATGCACCCTAATGTGAGAACTACTGCGTTGAAAGCATTGCATTGATGTGTATGACAATATAAACTACCGGTGGCGAGATTATCTTGCAATGTAAACTGTGGGCGGAGACATTAAAATGTATTACCATGCAAGATAAAGTGGCCTGCGGACCATTATCGCGGGTGCCGGGTGTTTATAACTTTCCAGGTACAGAGATTGTGTGAGATAAAGTTTGCTCAATGTTATATTGTAATGCTCGGGTTTACAGTGGTAGGTATTGTGCGATAACGTTTTGTTTTTTTACGAGATGTTCTACTGTTGTTTTCGCGCGTCATTCGGGGGTCACAACTCGATTAATTGCTCAAAAACACAGTGAGTCTTACTGGGCTTGGCGCTGCGGGTGTGCGCATATGCATACCTTCACAATCCCAGAGCGGGATATCCCTCGCGTGTTATGGTCGTCGCAGGGCGTAGCAAGAGCTTTACTTTACTTGAACGAGCAAACAGCATCCTTGCACTAGTCGCTATTACCATGACATATGATATGATACCCCAGTCGGTGCATCAAATATGGCGCACCACAACCTCATTACCGCTGCTCAACACCAGTACAGTCTTTAACCCCGACTACATGCCTTGTTGACCTGCTCTGCTCTCTTTCGCCCTCTTCCACCCCAATCTTCTTGGTTACTGATAATATACTCATGAACGCAACTCAAGTTCTCCGCCAATCCTACGTCACACGCCGCATGATACAAGGCGCGGCGGGGCGTTATGTGCAAGGCAAAAATCCCCTGCACAGTCGAAGCATCATCACTCTCAAAGACCACATCGTGCGTTGCCTTCCTCTGTCGACCCACAGAGCTAAGTTGCTTCGTTAGTTCTTCGAGAAAGCAACCGCACAAGGTGCTGGCCGTCATGGCCAGGTGGAGTCTTTTGGAGATGCCGCACTGAAGCTGAAGATGGACATGCCAAAGTCCGCAGGAGGAAAGGGCGAGGGCCAAAACCCCGAACAGTTGTTCGCGATGGGTTATTCCAGTACGTCTCGTGTTTCCGTACGCATGCAAAGCTGACACCACGTAGCATGCTTCCTCGGCGCTCTACAGCTCATGGCTTCGCGTGCAGGCAAAAAGGAGGCCGCAGCGGCAGCCAAAGTGTCTGCGAACGTCTTTCTCGGTCATCCGAGCGATGCCAACCTGGACGGCTTTGGGTTGAGGTCAGAAATCATCGTCGAAAATTTCGACGATGATGCTGTCATCCAGGCGGCACATGAGGTATGCCCCAAGCAATCTCTCAAGCTCTTTGCATATCGCTCACGTTAGGTGTATGTAGTTCTGCCCATACAGTCGTGCACTCACACAAGGCGCAGATATCAAGGTCATCAAGGCTTAATGTTTTGTCTCGTTCTCCAATCTACTGCACTGTAATATAGCTGCTAGTACCAACATAACGCAGTTTTTATTGTCTTCCAACGAGCAATGAGAGCCAGATTCTCACTCCGCGACACTTCCCTCGATCCCAAGAAGGAGCAGACTTCGCCAGACACAGCCAAAACAGGTAAGTCACGCAGTTCACATTTCGAAGCACACATCCCTTCACACGACGCGCAAAAAAGTCAAACCAACCAACTCTCCTCTCTACACTAACGACGCATACCCCCCGCGCACCCTCCGGAATTTCCAGCATACCTATACTCAACTTATGCGCCTAGCTCCTTGTCATGTCCTTCCCAGCCTATTTTACAAGCACTATCATCCTTCGCCAACACACCCACGGCAGCCTCAGCCTGAGCGCAGGTGAGCGGATCCGCGCTACTATCTGCGCCGCACCAGACCAGGGGCCCATGCTAGTCAACTTTACCCTCCCCGCGGACGGTGACCACGACGGACCAACGAGCGAGGAGGTTGGATCGTACCAGCGCACAGCGATCTGACTAGGGACGATGGTCGCCACAGCAAGCCGGGAATACGCGTTGCGAGCACACCAACAGGTTGAGCCCGCCACTGCCTTGCACCCTGTTCCCAAAACAGCTGCGCTCGTACCGGTCGATTGTGTCGACGACGAGAAGACCTTTGACAGACAGGAATTACTGTGAGTACACCGACTGGAATCACATAGCCTCAGATAAACTCGCGTTCTCACGACAGTCATAAACAAAACAGACGGCGTCCTGCGAAGGTGTGGACCTTGGTCGGGCACGAGCTCCCCCTTTTCGCGTTCGCAGTTGTCTCAATCGGGTCCATGATCGCAAGAATGGCGTTACTAGTTTCTCGTTTCGCGAAGGAAGACTCCCCGAATCTCCCGAGCCCACGCTCTGTGCCCGATGCTGATCCTACTGCAAGTATTTGCGCTGAAGCGGCGGATACACAAGCTATTCACACACCTGTGGGTCCACATGTATTCGGGCTGCGCTCGCACGGTGAGAAGTGTATCTCAAGGGCTCTTGCAGATGTACAGACTCCTGTGACGGTGTCCAAGCCAAAGACGCCGGTCACCTGTCCATTCAGTGCTCTACGGTACTCAACATGCACGTAGAGAGACGCGAAAGACACTAATCTAGGCATCTTAAGCAAGTCTTGAAGGAGCAGAAGGCTAAAAGAGGGGCAGAGGCAGCGCAGCGGAGGCGTGAGAGGGCAGCATGTGCGAATAGGTATGCAGTCCTGGCCGTTGAGAGTTTTGAGCCGTTGGATTGAATTCAATGGCCGCTTGACTCGCTCGAACTCTTTCTTTCACTATCTTTTCTACATCCTATTAGTACAAACTAAGTAATATGGACGTAACTGAATAGTTGTATGTTCGCATTGGTAGCCTGTATCTTTCACTCGTTTAGTATCCCAGTCTACTATGTGCGGTAGTCAGCACTGTGATCTGAAATGCGTGTCACTCAGCTACATGTTGAACCGTATGGGAGCAAACCGGTGAATGAACGATAAACATGCGATTGATGCTAATTATATGACACCTGAGCCTCAGGATAACACGAGAGTAATTTGGATACGACAGCGACGGATGGACAGAGAGAACAAACGAGAGACAGACATGAGATTTCATAGTAGCTTGGCTTCGCGTTTCGCTTGCTGAACTTGCGCAAGCCGTGTACTTCGCGGAGTAACCGTGTTGTTCTGAGCACCCTTTTTCGAGCTGCCCACGCCATGCGTGGCGGGCGTGATGCCTGCTTGGGACATGGAAATGCGTGTCTCGTCTGAGGCGAACCCTGGTATGCGTAAATTGTGGTTACGTTCTTAAGACGAGCGTGAGATTCCAGATAGTGTCATCAAGAACGAACATACCGAGGTGTAGTTGGAGATCTCGTACTTCGAGTGTATCGCCTCCTCTATGCTTGGCGAGCCGGCAAGAAAAGTTTGTGACCGAGTCGATGAACTCGTCCGCGATATCGAGAAGCAACTGTAGATTACCATAGCTGAGAAACGACCTGATAGAAACTGTGCATGCCAACCACGCTTACATCTTCGACCTCGGGCTCGATTCTCACGTTGGGGTCTATGCTCGCCACAAGGTCTTGGATTGACCGTCGCATACTTTGATCCGCGACAGAGTTCTTTCTTCGCGCCCGCGTTTCTTCAAACGTATACGGTGCGGAGTCGTCGGCATTTCTTGTAATCTGGGAAGGTGTAGCTGCTCATGAGAGCACGGAAGTCAGTGTCGCCTGTATTTTAAATAGTGTGGGTAGCATCGAGACTGACCGGCTACTCGTCCGCCTGCATTCCCTCCTGTCAACGTCGGCCTTCCCTGCTGTGAAGCTGGCCAAGCGGAAGGCGTTGGTTCTGCAGCTGGTGTAGGCGGGTTCTGGCTAATGGGATATGTGGTGTCCACATTGGTTGGATTAGAGGAGAGGAACGGTAGCACAGGAGCCTTGGTATGCCCGAGTTAGTTTAAAGGGCCACGGACACGCGTCTTGTGCAGGCACGAAATAAAGGGACAGACTAAGACATACCTGGGCGGCTTTGTGTCTATCTGCGTATTCCTTCAACTGTGATAGTAACCGGACGAGTGGCACGACCATTGAATGAGGCAGCATCGCTGAGGTACATCATGCACCGTACCTGCATAATCTGGTGCTGATTCAACTTCCCTTGCTTTGCGAGTTCGCCGAGGTGGTTCATGTTCTGCAATAGCAGCTGTGCGATCCTCTCTCCAGGGATGTCGTCGCCGGTCTGCATTTTGAAAACTTGACCGAGGGCTTGAATGATATTGGTCGAGCTGGGTTTACTGCTGGCAGCGACAGCTGATGGTTGTGGTTGGGAAGTGGATGCTGAAGCCATGCTCACGATTCACGAATTATAAAGCGTTGGTGAACAAAGGGCCATTGTACCCTGCTGCTCGACTAGACCGTTTTAGGCAGGTTTCCACGTGACCCGCCGGCTAGTAGCCACGGGTCGGTGGCGTAGTTGGTTATCGCATCTGCTCACTGCTCAGGCCTCAGTTCGAGCCTGGGCCGACTCATTTTTGTGTAGATCTGAAACCTGAACAAGCCCGACATCCCTGGAATATCTCTCTTCGCTGCGTACAACCTCAAGAGTGCCGCCAGTGGCTTTCTATCCCTCATTATGGCGCACAATTCGAGCACGATGCACGTCAAACGCGTCACACTCACATCGAAGAAGAACTGGTGGATGGGTACGTGGTAATGGTCGCAGTGCTACGCCTGATGGTCATTCAGGTGAGATGTCTTCATAGTCGAGTTAGACGATGAAGAGCAAGCCGAACCACCGCAATTGCAACAAAACCCGTACCAAACGCAGCAGACCGTCGTCAATGAATCACACCAGCCCCGCCCTCCTTTCCCTCATCGCTCTACAACTAGGACTTACACGAGCACCCCTCATGCATCCTCGCCAATATACCGACCGCCGACAAACCCGGCATCCCTATTCTCATTTCCCACCCCAACATCTTATGCCGCTCCTCCAGACCCTACGCAAAATCTGGCGCCATTCGCCACAGGATCAGCATCTGAAGTCTTTCAGTGCGTTGTGAAGAAGCCCAATGTTATACAGATGGAGATCAATGACGAGATGCAGTCCAACGCACACGATGTGACCACCCAGTTCATGGCAGAGCTACGCGTGTATACCACCGTCACTCGCCACAGAAACATCGCAGCATTCCTGGGCTCCTTGGAGAACGTCGGCATGGTACTGGAATACATCGTCGGCCGCACGCTGTGGGACGTTATCTCGAAAGAACCCGAGATGATGACCCGGGCACAAAAGATTGACTTTCATAACCAGCTGCTGGACGGCCTTACGCACCTGCACTCATTTGGCCTGAGCCACGGTGATCTCTCCCTACTCAACATACAAGTCACAAACTCGTCCAACACGATCAAGCTCCTCGACTTTGGACGATCTGTCTCTGCAGAATCAACCTACGCTTCACCTCATGACGACCTGACTGAGCCACCCCCTCCTCCCCCGACAGCACAGTGGCGTGGCGCATCGCGCTTTGGAGCGAACTTACCGCTCACACCAACTCTCCCACCTCCGCCACCTAAACCTTCTCGCAGAGTCGAGCAGATCCATCCAGGAACACGACCGTTTAGTGCACCTGAGGTTCTGCGAGGAGAGTGCCAGGACGCGCTCCTTGCGGATGCGTACGGCTTTGGTATGATCCTCGTATGCTTGGATCGGTGCGACCACGTTGACATCAAGCCTTGGGAGCAGAGGAAGGACATGATTCCGAAAGGCTTCCTAGATGGGCTCGTCGTCTTTGGCGAGCGATGTGCAGAGTATTTGCGCAAGTGGGACAATTCAAGACGAAGGCTCCGCCCTGCAGATATCATCGTTGAAGACGTACGGATGGAGTTGTGAGCGACTTATCGGTGCTGTGTAGGCTACTAGATATCAGGTATTCCTTCCCTGCGTTGTAGCTTGTAGTGGTTGATGGCCCTTGCTTGCACCTAGATACCCTAATGTACCTTTACAAAGACAAACCTCCATATACCATAAATCTACCTCTGTTCGAAATACAGGCTATGGCATGCATTACTTTCCATCCCGAAGACACAGAGTCAATGCCTAGTGGATTGGTCACGCCCTCTTCTCCAGAAGCTTCTGAACCGCTTCTCTCCGTCCTCCCGTACATTCGCACAGAATGTAAGAAACCATCTCCGAATTCGAGCTCAAACAATCCTCCAACATATCTGCCTCTCTCGGTTCCGGCCCTCTTAATCCCTTTTCTATACCACCTCGTGCCACATCGTGATTCTTTCTCGGTTGAAGCCCATCCTCTCCACTACGTTGACAATTGCTTCGTCCATTTCCTATCACCGCATAACGCGTCGTCACCCCAGATCCAGCAAAGGGTGTGCATTCTGGAGCTCTTGGCAGTACCGTAGCAGCAAGCCAACGGCGTTTGAGGTGAAGTACGTGCGCTGGAAATGCACGCGCAAACTCGATCTTTGCTCTCAAGTAAGCTCGCGGAGAGTTATCTGCGAGGATCATCTCCATCGGAGGCGCCTCAAAATGGTGCCTTCCCACTGTGGGTGTGCGGGGCTCGTGCGAAGTGTTCCGAGTGAGGTGGGTGATTTGGCTGAGACCATAGGTCACAATGTGTAATGACTTGCTCGAAGTATGTGCTCGCGTAGCGTGGGATGAAAGGTCAGATCTTAGAGCTTGACTCTGTCATTTTCCAGTAGCAAAAGTCGAGAATTGATACCGTGTGGATCTGAACCGAAATTCGAGTATGTCGAACAGTCCCCTAGTATATCAGCCTTGTAAATCCATGATATGATAACGTCTCTAGACAAACATCGACGTGCGCGTAGACGAAATTGCAGCAGTGAGTTGATGACTCGACCGGAGATATACCATAAGCGCGTCACACGGAATGACTCGCATTTTGCATAAGTACGGACAGAAGTCCTCACAAGCCAGTATAGTACATTCAAGGTTCTCTGTAGTCATCATTCAGCTATTCTTAACATCGAGGCCAGCTTCACGTAGTATTTTCCGTAATTCTCCTTCCTGATCCAAGTCTTCAATAGTGTCAGACCCGCCAATGGAGGCGCCCTTACGAAGTAATTCCGAAACGTTAACAGCATGCGCTTTTTACGTACCATCTGTGAGGTAGACGTACATGTAGCAATATATTCGGAACTGTTCCACGGCCAGTAATCCTTCTCAAGACGGTTTGGATGATCTGTCCGTCAGAGCGAAGATCTAGCTCGATGACTGTCGGAGGAGGGGACAGCTCGTATAATTGGAGTAGAGCTTTGGCCCGCTTTGAATATCTGCAGAAGCTGAAGTTAATCCAAGTAGTGAGCAAGGTATGATGTAGCTTACGGGCAGTACGATTTGCTAAAGACAACGAGAGGGTGTTGATCTCTGAGAACTTTGACATGTCTCTGCCAATCGTCATCGCCTTCGGGCGAGTATACTCTCAGGTCAATCTCCTTGCGACCATCCAGTCGAACAGCGCCAAGCCCAGCGACGCTCATCTTTCCCTCTGCTTCGTTCAATCTTCTTTCAGGGTACGCCGTGACGAAGTGCATCAAACCATGGATCTCTTGTACGCGGAGTCTTCCTGCTTCAACAATGTCGTTTGCTTTCGCGTCAGCAACGACACGGGCAGGAGAGGAAGAAGATGAGAGACCGATGTCTTTGAGGTATGACGGTAGTGACCAGGACCCGAAAAAAGTTGAAGAGTCCGTCCTTGGGCTCAGGTAGAATAACGAGCCAAGCGTGAACAGTAACAGCGACCAGATGACGCGGCGACGTCTATACGGTGATCCAGCCATCCTGGTAGGGATACGAGAGAATGAGAGCACTGCCGAACTCGCCTGTGTGCTGTAGGTGATGGTCGTTAAACTACAACACAGTGTGCGAAATTCGAATCCTACTTTCGTCAACTACGGATACCCAAGCGTCTAACGCCACGAAGGAAATTCTATCCATATTAAGTACATACAGATGATAAATTAGCGCTATATGTACATGCAATAGGAGTCTACAATGCGATATGGGAAATACGGGACTGTGGTATATAGTGTACAAATGTGAGATGAGTCTAATGTAATGCAGAACTCGGTTGTTGATGGGTAATCAAATGAAGCCGGCTTTAATGGTGACCTGACTTCATCGGGGTAGGTGGGACACCAGTGGCAGTCTCTTCCACCAACGCCAGAACGTCTCCTGCGCATCCAAATGATAGAGTGAACCCTGAGCCACCCTGGCCGTAGGAGTGGATCACTCGGCTGAGTGAGCCATCCTCTTTCCTGCGCAGCTCTCTTTCCACGCGGACGTTCTCTCCTCGAACCGGTCGAAGTCCTTGAACGAGAGGGAATACAGGATCGTACTCCGCCTCTGCGAGGCCAGGCACAAAGCGGTTGCATCGTGCGCGCATTCTGCGAATCTCGGGGCTGTCTAGTGTAAGGTCGAGCTTGCCCTCGTTCGGCTGAGCAATCCCTGGATCGTTCACGATCAGCGTCTGATCCTGGTATCGAGAGAATTTATATATACTCACCACCCAAAATGAGCGTTTCGTCATTTCTTGGCACAATGAAGACGATTCCACCGTCGTCGTCGCGTTTGTCGTAGTCATGAGCGACCACAAGCGCTTCAGTGACGCGAGGGAACTTGGACCCGTCATTCACCACCCGGATCAGCGCGCCCCGCAGGGGGTACACTGTCTTGTCGGCGGCGAGCTCAAAGCCGCCGAGACCGGTAGCATTGACTATGAAGCGTGCGTCGAACGTGTCCAAGAGTTTGTCTTCTTGTACAAGCAGATCGCCAGAGATCCGCTGAGTGACGAGCTGTGCACCCTTCGACACCACGAGATCCTGAAGCCACATCATGTATGCGTCCGTGTCAATGACTGGGGACTCGTGTTTGTAAGCGTCGATTACACCCGCTTCTTTGCTGATGGCGTGCTTTTCCACGAGAGCGGCATCACGCTCAAATCCACGGATCTGTTTGGGACCGAAAATAAGAATGAAGATCCTGTCGTCACAATAGAGAGAGATACACACCTGAGCTTCTTCTATCTCGAGCATCTTCTCGCACTCTTCTCCGTTCTGCTCTATGGGCCTGTCGAAGAAGAAGTTCGCAGTTCGCATACGGACGCCATGTCCTGAGGAACCATCGGCGGGGAGGACTTTTCGTAGTTTGTCGAACGCGTGATATGAAGTTAGGCACCACTTCTTTGACAGACGCAAGGAGACAAGGTCTGTGTGTCTTCCGCAAACGGCAGGAGGCCACTCCCATCTGAAAGTAGTGATTTAGCATGTATTGCGAGCGATGGTAGGCGGGCAGTTGAATACGTACAACGCGCCTGCGATTTGGGACGTTATGCGGTGTTGCAATGACGCCCACCGCTCGGACACCACAGTCACCGAGTATCCGGCGTCGAGAAGAGCCCAAGCGTTCTGAGGAAGATATTCCAAGTCAGACTCTGCGTCCCTTGTAGCATTGCTCGACTCACTGTAAGTCCGGTGACACCACCAC